GGAGCTGCCAGCCATCCTCAAGCACAAGAAAAGCCTGCAGAAGCTGGTGTCCGACTGGAATACCCTCAAGAGCAGGTGGGAGCCGCAGCGTCTGGGCAGGGTCCATGCCTAGGTCGGCCCACAGAGGTGGCCACAGGGTCGGAGGCCCTTCCCATAATAGAGGACAATGCAGGGCCCCTGGGTGCGGAGTGTGTACTGGTGTGCACGCCTGGTCCTGGGAACACATATGTGAGGGTACATGTAAGGTGTCTCTGTGCATGTGTGTGTGCACGTGCTTATGCCAGCTGCAGTGACCCCAAAGCCCAAGATAGCCATAAACAATCCCAGGGGATCCTGGAGGGCCCCAACCTTCTACTCTGGAGTTGGATGGTTGTGACCACCAAGCCTACCACCAGGTGGCGCCCCCGAGCACTCACGGCCCAGGCCCAGTGGAGCTCTGGGATTTGCACCTATAAATCCCAAACTCCTGTGGTCACGCACATGAAAGGGACACTTGACTCTGGACATGCGATGGGGACACTGACCACTCCACCTTGGGATCGTCCCCAGGCTCAGCCAGGCAGCTAAGAACTCAGGCAGCGGTCAGGGCCCGGGGGGAGGCCCAGGCAGTTACGGCCACACCGCCACGGCCAACAAGGTGGAGACATTGAAGGAGGAAGAGGAGGAGCTGAAGAGGAAGGTGGAGCAGTGCAAGGTGAGGGGTTGGGCACTGTTCTCATCTCATAGATGAGGAAAGAGCCGGGGTTCACCCAGGTCTTGGTGTATTTGCTGAGTGAGTGAATGAATGGATGGTCCCTGACACAAGGCACTGTGCTAAGGGTACGGGGACTCAGGTGAGGACTGGAAGCTGCAGAAGCCCCTCAGGAGTTCAAAGAGTTTCCCGTGGGCTGTCCCCAATCAAACCTTGGCAGAGAGCGGAGAGCTGGCTGGGACCCTCCGCGCACAGCTGGAGCAAATTACTAGCCCCCCTGAGCCTCACCGCACCCCTGGGCCCCAGCCTCACTGACAGAAGCCCTCCCCCCTCTGTCTCCAAGGACGAGTACTTGGCTGACCTGTACCACTTTGCCACCAAGGAGGACTCCTATGCCAACTACTTCATAAACGTGAGTCCAGACTGGGCTCCACCCACCCAGAGCTCTGGTGACGCCAGAGCCAGAGGCCACCGAGGCCCCCTGTGAGCCAGTGGGAGGGAAGGGGCTACTCTGGTGGAGGTAGGCTCGGCTTCCCTCACTCCCCGCTGTCCCCACAGCTCATGGAGATTCAGGCCGATTACCACCGCAAGTCTCTGAGCTCGCTGGACACAGCCCTGGCCGAGCTGAAGGAGAACCACAGCCAAGCAGGTGAGGACATAGACAGCCCTGACCCCACACCCCTGACCCCCACGGGCTCAGGCATGTTAAGAAGCTTGCACTCTATCCCTGAAAGGCAGTAGGGAGCCACAGATGGCTCTGAGCAGGGGAGGGCGCGATTAGATTTGTGGTGGAAGGTTGCTGCATGGAGGGTGGGGTGGGGTGGGGTGGGGTGGTGCAGGACTGGAGCCAGGAGACTTGTTAAAAGGCAGAAGGGAAGTGATAGCGCCTGAACTGGTTGGAAGCAGTGGAAGTGGGCAGATTCGAGAGATGTGTGGGATGGTTTCAGGGTGGGTGGCATGGGTGGCCAGGTGGGAGGTGGCACCGTTAGCCAAAGCAGCAGTCACTTAAGGATGTCTGGGGGTGCTCCTGGCTGCCTGTGAGTGGAAGGACCCTGGGCCGCTCATCCATCTTGTCCCTGCAGAGCCCTCCCCTTCGATGACGGCCGCCCCCTTCTTCAGGGTGTATGGGGTGTCACTGGGAGTTCACCTGCAAGAGCTGGGCCGTGACATCGCCCTGCCCATCGAGGCCTGCGTCCTGATGCTGCTCTCTGAGGGCGTGAAGGAAGAGGTGGGACCCACTGGGGCAGGTGGGGTGGAGCAACGGGGCCACATCCTGTCCCAAACCTCCCCCTGCGGCTGCTGTGCCGTCATCTACCCTTAGAGCAGGTCCTGGGAGAAGGCATGGCCTCCTGTTGCTGACGTGGTACCACCCGCTTAGTGATGCTCATGTGGTCCAGGCTGTAAGCCTTTAGCACCGGGAACTGATGCTCCCAGTAACCCTTGGAAGGAGGCCTCAGTGGCTCCATTTTACAAGGGGAGCACATGGGCGGGTGGCAGTGAAGTCATGGCTGCACCTGCCCTCGTCCGTCCTTTGCACCTCAGTGCTGCTAGTCCATCAGCTCTTTTCCCGAGGACAGACCCTTAGGAGGTGGAACTACTCAAAGGCAGGCTTCCACACATCCTGCGGGGCCTCCTTTCTCCCTTCCGCCCCTAACCAGACGCCTGTCTCCCCACGACTTGCCCAGCCCCTCCCAGACTCCCCCTTGCTCAGAATCCAAGGACCCTGGTGTCCACTCTGCCCGCCAGACCAGTGGGGACACAGGGCCAGTGAGGGCCAGCCACCAACCCCAAGCCATGAGTGACGCAGGGCCTCCGGCCAGGGTGTCCTGTCCCACCCACCCCTCCGTGACCCTACACGGTCCCTCTCACGCCCCAGGGCCTGTTCCGTCTCGCCGCTGGGGCCTCGGTGCTGAAGCGCCTCAAGCAGACGATGGCCTCGGACCCCCGCAACCTGCAGGAGTTCTGCTCTGACCCCCACGCCGTAGCAGGTACCTGCTCCAAGGATGGGCCCCTTTCCCACTTCCCTTCGCCACAGCTGCCTGAAATGATCCCTTGATAGTTTGCTTTAAGGCCTGACAGTCTGCCCAGAAAACACAAGGGTCCTGAAGGCGGGGTTTGTGATGAACCCCCTGAAGTGTATGTACGCTTTTCTGAGAACAAGATCACTAGCCTTCATCATTTTCTCTAAACGGCCCAAGAAGTGATAGACCTACACATGCTAGTATGAACAAGGACCAGAGGCCCCTCACAGATGGAGAGAGCTGGGTCCTGGGGGGAAGGTGGAGCCCTGGGCTGCCTCTGAGCTCACACCACCACTTCAGGTGCCCTCAAGTCCTATCTGCGGGAGCTGCCCGAGCCCCTGATGACCTTTGACCTCTATGACGATTGGATGAAGGCAGCCAGGTGAGGTGGGGGGTTGTGGGGAGAGGAGGCTGTAGAGGTGCCACCCTGGGCTGTCTCACCTGGGCTGTTCGCCTCCCCAGCCTGAAGGAGCCCAGAGCCCGGCTGGAGGCCCTCCAGGAGGTGTGCGGCCGCTTGCCCCAGGAGAACTTCAGTAACCTCAGGTGAGCCCAAGCCCACCCCGGCCCTCAAAGCCAGGCCCTGCGGGACTCTGGGGCCTGGGTTTGAGTCCTACCTCCTTGCTCTAAGCCAGTGGTTCTCAACCTGTGGGTCGCGACCCCTTTGGCGGTCGAATGACCCTTTCATACAGTTATGAAGTAGCAACGAAAATAATTTTATGGTTGGGTCACAACATGAGGCACTGTATGTAAAGGGCCAGAAGGTTGAGAACCACTGTATTTCTGAAAACACAGCTTAGATGTACTAGTCATATTTTTATTCTATTATGTTTTGTCTTAAATATGGAACACTTCACGAATGTGCATGTCATCCTGGCGCGGGGGCCATGCTAATCTCTGTGCTGTTCCAGTTTTAGCAGATGTGCTGGGGAAGCAAGCGCGGTGCGAGTCAGATTTTTTAAGATATATGTATTTTTTTAATTGATTTCAGAGCGGGAGAGGAAGAGAGGACAGAGACATCAATGACGAGAATCATTGATCAGCTGCCTCCTCCACGCCCCCTACTGGGGATTGAGCTCCCAACCTGGGCCTGTGCCCTGGGCAGGCATCAAACCGCTGGGGCCTCAAGCAGACGATGGCCCCGGACCCCCGCAGCCCTCCTGACCCATAGGCTGACACTCAGTCACTGAGCAGCACCAGCCGGGCTGTACTAACCATATTTTTAATACTAGACACTGAACTAAACACATACTTTGAAGCCACACCGCCTGGCTTCAAATCCCACCTCTGTGGCTGTGTGGCCCTGAGCAGGCAAATTGGCCTCTCGGTGCCTGGGCTAGAGAATGCATTACAGCCCCATAGATGCTCAGCGTAGCTCAGCGCCTGACACGTAGGTGGCGCGCAGTAGGTCAGCTAATTTAACTATCAGAAATTTATTTATTTATTTATTTATTATATTTTATTGATTCTTCACAGAGAGGAAGGGAGAGAGACAGAGAGTCAGAAACATCGATGAGAGAGAGAAACATCGATCAGCTGCCTCCCGCACATCCCCCACCAGGGATGTCCCCGCAACCCAGGCACATGCCCCTGACCGGAATCGAACCCGGGACCCCCCAGTCCTCAGTCCGACGCTCCATCCACCGAGCCAAACCGGTCTCGGCAATTTAACTATCAGAAATTTTTAACCAGCCTGTGTGCTGCCGTGGCCACACTTTGGCAACCCCAGGCTGGGAAAGGCTCTGTCTCGGGGGACGTTGATGGGTGTTGGTAGCCCCTGCCCCGCCCGGGCCCCAGCCATCTCCTGTCCCCCCAGGTACCTGATGAAGTTCCTGGCACGTCTGGCCGAGGATCAGGAGGTGAACAAGATGACACCCAGCAACATCGCCATCGTCCTGGGGCCCAACCTGCTGTGGCCCCCGGAGAAAGAAGGGTGAGCGGCCGTGGTAGGGGGAAGGTGGCAGCCCCCACCCCAGCGACCTGCTGCTTGCCTTTCTCCTGGGCCTCGGTTTCCTCCTCCTTGGAATGGGTTGAGCAGCTCCTATTCTCAAGGCTCCACGAAGAGCAGCCCAAAGGGGTCCTGGACTCACAGGGCTTTGGAGATAGCATTCTGGGTAATGGCAGTAATGGGGTGCTGGGAAGTCTGGGAGCCCGAGGTCTGGTTCTAGCCCCGCCTCCACCTTCCCGAGACGGGCCTTAGTAAGACCCTCTCTCGACCTCCATTTCCTCATCTGTCCATTAGAAATTACACAAAGCCCGAGGACTGTGGCTGTGGGAACTCAGGGAATGAGTGGAGGAATGCTGTGTGAACTGTACAGTGCTCTTGTATGTGAGAGGTCATGACTGTCACCTGGCCAGGCACGTTGAAGTTGATGTCTGCAGACAGAAGGAGCAGGCCTTAGCTTTCAGGGTCTCCGCCAGCGCCCCTCCACCCGCGCAGCCAGTGCCAGGGCCGTGGAGGGCAAAGGGTGCCGTTCATTTGCTGACTGCAGCTCCTTGGTCGAGGCTGCCTCGATTCAAGAAGTGGGGAATGCTGCCGGGACCGACTGGCGATGCCCGTCGTGTGTGAAGGACGGGAGTTTGGTGTGTGAGCAACATGTTTGCGTCCACAGTGTCTGTGAGCTTTTGGGAACAGGGACCGGATGTGACGGATTGGTCCTGTGCTCCCAGCGGCCAGCACGGGCCAGACGGAGTGGGGCCCACTGAGACTTTGCTAAGTGGTGACTCACTTTCACCCCCTTTTGTCCCAGGGACCAGGCCCAGCTGGACGCAGCCTCAGTGTCGTCCATCCAGGTGGTGGGCGTGGTGGAAGCTCTGATACAAAATGCCGACACCCTCTTCCCTGGAGGTGAAGCCCCTGCCTGCGTGCCTGTGCCCCTCCGTGCCCTCTGTGCCCAGCTCGGTGCCCTCCGGCCCCATGCACTCCCCACGAGGCCTGGGGGAAGTTGCTTCTCCACTCTGAACCTCAGTTTCTCATCTGTAAAATGGGGGTGATCCTGCCTGCTTCCTGGTGCTGTGAGGCTCCTGTGGGAGTGGGAAGGCGAATCGTGGGCCAGACAATTTCTGGGAATGCCATCGCAGGAGCTCAGGGAATGAGCACTGGACGAATGAATGGATGAATCAGAACCCAGCAACTCAAACAGGGCTCCTTCTGTCTGCAGACATCAACTTCAACGTGTCCGGCCTGTTCCCAGCCCCCACCCCCCAGGACAAGGTCAGCGATAGGCCCGCCTCTGAGGAGCTGCCAGCCATTGCCGTGCCGGCCCCGGCCCCGGCCCCAGCTCCTACCCTGGCCCCAGTGCCTCCCAAGGAAAGGTAAGGACTCACAGGTATGAACGGCCCCTGTCCCAAGGTACCAACGCGGCTTCCAGCAGTGTTTTAGGAAATGTCATTGTATTTTTATCCCAAATACCAGGTTTCCTGGTTTGGAGTGGGTGGGTGGAGGCTCTGAGATAATATTCCTCTCGGCTTCTGACATGTTTCCTCGTTCGTTGTATGGCTATTGACTGAGCACCTACTATGTGCCAGGCACTGTTTCAGGCCACGAGGATGTAGGGACTAGAGAGCTGGTCACTGTGGAATGTGCAAGCACCTTCCCGCCTTCCCTCTGATCCCTGAAATCTGAAAGGCCCATGTGCCACGCTGCCTCCCTGCCAAGCAGGGATCGTGCGGCTGTCGGACTGCTGGGCCCAAACCGTGAATTTCTTCCCGTGAGCAAAACAGACAAAGCTGCCCTTAGAGCTTGTGCTCCGGGGGCAGAGGGAGAATCAGCAAGTGCACCCGGAAAGGTCAACAAGGGCAGGCAGGGCTGCGTGCTGCACGGGAGAACAGCAGGAGAGGGGACCTGGGGGGAACTGCTGCAGCCCCAGGCTCAGGAGAGGCCTCCTGAGGGGGAGCCGGCTGAGCAGAGACCTGGAGGTAGGCAGGAGGCCTCCCTCTGTTCTTGTCCGCTCTCTGGCTTCCAGTGGCCAGAACATCCTAAAGATCAAAAAGGGGCCCAGCTGGCGTGGCTCAGCCATGGAGCCGAACGATGAGCCAGGAGGTCACGATGTGATTCCCCGTCAGGTCAGGGCACATGCCCAGGTCGCGGGCTCGATCCCCAGTGGGGTGTGCAGGAGGCAGCCGGTCGATGACTCATCATTGATGTTTGATCTCTCCCTCACTCTTCCTTCCTCTTTGAAATCAACAAAAATGTATATTTTAAAAAAAGTATCACAAGGAGGCTGAGAGCTGAAGCAAAGGGGAGGCCCTGCTTCCTCCCGCGCTCCTGGCCCCATAGGGGACCACGGACACTGCACTGAGTCGCACAGCAGCCAGGGGCTCTGGATGCAAACCCTGCCCCCGACACCAGAGGTGTTGGGGGGCAGGGGCAGCCTGGGGACGGGCCCCAGACCCAGCCACGGGTGGACCCACACTCGGCCCGTGGGCTGGGAGTCTTCCTGAGATTCCAGGAGAAGCTGGGAAATGGCCACGCCTGCGCCTGACCCTCCTCTTCCCTCACAGGACAGAGTCCGAGGCTCCCCCCAGACCGGTCGAATAATCAAATAGACCTGAGGCAGATTAGCAAGAGAAAAGAGGCAGCAGCCCCAGCGGAGGACATGGCTCGGAGGAGTGAGTTGGCCGTGGGAGGAGCAGGGTCAGAGGGTGGCCAGGGGTGGGCAATCCAGACCGTCCGTGTTCTCAGGCATCGAGGGGAGGCCAGGAGGCCAGGGGGCTCGGAGCCAGTCTGTTGCCTAACACGCCGGGTTCAGAGTCCAGCTCGGTGACCTTGTGCAAATGACTCCAGCTCCCCGCGCTTCTGTGGACAATAACTGCCCCTACCTTGTAGGGCTGTTTGGAGAATTAAATTCTGCTGCCTGGTTCATGCAGTAAACACTCCATAAAGGTCGGCCATCGTGAGCATGGGGGGCAGCGGGGTCCTGAGAAGCCCAAAGTCACAGGGTGAGGAGGGAGAACAGTTTTCAGCGCCGTGAGGGGAGTGCCGGTGTGGGGGGAGACCCAGGCCTCCTTCTGAGCCCTTGGGGACACGCACCTGTTGAGTTGGCTGAAAGCCAGGCAGGTGAGGTTCAGGTGCAGAGTCGTGTGAGGCCCTGCCCAGCCCAGGAGGTTCTAGAGTTTTCCACGAGGGTACAGTGTAGAGCCGGGAGTAGGTGGAGCAGCTGCAGAGCCTCCAGCCCAGCAGGAGCGGCGGTCACACAGGAACCTCCCTGCAGGAGGCGGGCGTCTAGCCACCTTTCCTGGAGGCGGGGCAGTGAGACATTTGCTCCCTGGAGCACAAGCCAAAGGACTGTCAGCATCACCTGAGCTATTTATATATTTAAATGCCATTTAACAAAGAGAAATCAACCCCAAAATTGAGTTCGCGTATCACCTCTGACACGCGTGTCATAGGTTCGCCATCACTGCCCTAGGAGATTGAAGAATCATCCCATCTTACGGATGAGACAACTGAGGCCCCAGGGGCAAGTGATTTGTGCAAAACCCTCAGTGGGTGGAGGCAGAGCTAGGACCAGAGTCCAGACCTCCTGGCCCAGCCAGTCCTTTGGCTGCCGTGGGACGTCAGACCCGCGCAGTGGGGTCTGTGCGCTGGGGCGAGTCGTTCTGGTGGCTTCTGAGAGGAAGTGAGCAAGACCCCAGTGTCCGGGGACAGGCGGCATTTCCTTATTCGACAGGATTGTGCGGAGCACCTGCTCTGTGCCCGGCACTGTGCTAGGCAGCCACGCATCCGATGGCCACACTTAGTGTATGTCCTAGTGGGAGAGGCGAGCAATATTCAAGTAAAATAAAACACAGGCAGGATCATTGCAGAGTAAAAAGCTCTGTGAAGAAAATAGAAGTGGAAAATGTGACGGGTCGGGGGCAGTTCTCTAGCTGAAGGAGTGAAGGGACTTGTACAGTGGCTTGTGATGAGGAGCCGCATGCACAGTGTTCCCGCGGAAGGCGCAGCAGATGCAAAGGTCCTGAGGTGGGATTGAGCTGGGGGCTTTGCCACAGGCCATACGGACACCTCACTGCCCCTTTGCTTCCTCCACAGCCAAACGCCCAGCACCAGCCCGGCCCACCATGCCACCGCCCCAGGTCTCCAGCACCCGCTCCTCCCCTCCGGCCCCATCCCTGTCCCCTGCCTCTGGCAGTCCTGTGATCCCCCGGGCTCTGCCTCGCCGTCTGGTTGGCAGCAGCCTCCTGTCCGGCGCCAGAGCCGGCGTTCACCAGCCTCCCCCGGCCAGACCTCCCCAGGTCCAGCCTCCCCCAGCCCGGTCTCTCTGAGCATGCCTGCCCAGGTGGACCTGGGGGAGGCCACAGAGGATGGGGGGGGCCCTGAGGCTGTGGACGGCACCCCCACTCCCACAGCTGTGCCCCCTCAGCCTCGGCCCAGGAGTCTTGCCTCAGAGACCGACTGAACGGGTGGCCCCTCCCCAAGAGCCCTCAGTGTCCCCTCCCCTCCAACCTGTCCTCCCAGGACACAGCCCTCACCCCTCCCGAGAGGTGGGGGCCTCCAGCCTTTGCCTACAAGTGCCTCGGTGCCCGCTGGGTCGGCCCCCACGGCAAGGAGGGCTCCGGACAGCCCTCCACTTCCAGTCCTTTCCCTCTTGGGTCCACCTTGGCCTTGGGCTCAGCCCACCCCCCCACTCTCCGGCAAGGTCCCAGGGGAGCCACCAGGAGGAAGGAGAGCTTGCTTGCTCCTACGAGGACTTTGATTTTTTCTCTTGACAACATATTTTTTGTAAGGCAGGTAAATAAATTATTTTGGACAAAACTGGAGCAGCTGCCCAAAAGATAGCTTTATTTTCTGTACTCGAAATAAAGACGCCACTTTCATAAAGGGGAAATTTAGCTATTCTTTGCCTCCTTTCCTTCTTCCTGTCTGAAAGGATAATGGCTAGAGCTTTTCAGCACTTACTCTGGGCTGCACACTGCTTTTCTGTGCATGGTTTCCATGTAACCCTCTCCCTGGACAGTCAATCCCATGACCTCTTACAGGTGAGGAGACAGGCTGAGAACATGACCTGCCGAGGTCACATGGTGCGTGAGGCAAGGACCTGGGATTAGGACCCAGGTCTGACTGATTCCAGAGCCTGGACCTGCCCCTCACATCCCGGGCAGTGGACTTAATTTCTCAGTGTTCTGGTCTCCTCATCTGGGAGACCGGTGACGGCTTCCACCGCAGAAGTGTTGTCTTGGTGACTACATGAGACACGCCTGCAAAGGCCTGAGCACCGCCCTCCCACTTGATGCGGGGCCCCTGGATCTGCGGTGCTCCTAGGGAAGGTGGAGAGGTTCCCCCAGGAGCAGGGATGGATCTGTCTGCAAACCTTCCCGGAGGCTGCCCTGCCAGACCTGGGCGAGGTCCCTGACACAGCCCCAGCTGCTCCTGGGAACAGACAGGCAGAACTGATGACTAGAATCAAGTGCCGTGACACTGGAAGCCCACACTGGCCTAATTAGGCACAAGCCATTAACCAGACTGGTGTGTTTCTGGAGGGTGGAGGCCACGGAAAGCTTCCTAGAGGAAGTGATATATCCAAGGGGAGTCTTTCCAGGGCTGACCAGGTGGGAAAGTCAGGGAAGAACATTCCAAGCCATGGAGACACCTATGCACCTGTGACCAAGGCCAGGACATTGGGGAACAGGAAATATCATCTTAGCTTATAGGATGTGGCTCTTCCCAGGTCTTTGGAGCACCCGTTGTTCCTGGAGGGGAAACGGGTCTTCAGAGCCTTCTCAGACATCCCTCCCCGAGGGGGGCCTAGGCAGCTAGGTCACCCCATCACTGCCCTGGGCCTGGCCACTGCTGCTCTGGCCTGGCTCCTTCCCCTCCTTGGAGTGCTTGGTGACAGCCTGCCTCTAGCCCTGAGCCTCTTCACCCTTCACAGTAGAATCCTTGATAATTAAAACAAAAACCAAAAATGCCAGGCTACCCCCCCAAACAATTAAAGCAGACTCTCTGGGGTCCTACCACGTATTGGTATTTTTAAGAAGCATTTGTCAAAAGTCATCAAACTTTACACATAAGAACTATACATCTTACTGTAGGTAAATTATATCTAAAAATAATAAGTGCTCCAGGCGACTCTACAGTATAGCCAGCCTAGAGAATCACTGGTGTAGGCCAAGGGCCCCAGCGCTCAAGAAGACACCAGGCGTCTCTCTCCCCATCCTACCCACCCGCTCAGACCTGGAGCATCTCCAGTTCAGAGGGCAAGGAGATTTGACCCAAAGATCTCATCTCCTTTAGCATCTGTTTTCCTCTTAGCAACCAGCTCTCCTAAGCTTCTGATTGGCTGAGGGGCGCAGGCTTATTCGCGCCACATTTTCTACTTCTAACTCCTTATTGGCCAAGAGAGGCGTCAGTCTCCCACCCCTTGGTGCCCTTCTCTCCAAGCTCTGTCTGCTCGCGTCCTCGCTCCTTAACTTTCGCCTCTATTGGCCGCGGGCCAGGCCGTAACCCCACCCCCTGACCCATCCTGCGCGCCTATTGGCAGGTGCGAGGGGCTAGCGGGATGCGGGCGAGCGCACCGTGCCCGCGGAGAGAAAGCGGC